GGCGGACTCCGTGCTGATGGAGCAGCCGCCGCTGCGCAGGAGAAAGCTGGAGCACCTGGTGAGTGTGGGCGCAGCGCTCACACCTGCGGCTCTGGCGGTTGCGGGGCGGGCACAGCACGCTCACACCTGCGGCTCTGGCGGTTGCGGGGCGGGCACGGCATGCTCACACCTGCGGCTCTGGTGTTTGCAGGGCGGGCGCGGCATGCTCACACCTGTGGCTCTGGCGGTTGCAGGGCGGGTGCAGCGCTCACACCTGCGGCTCTGGCGGTTGCGGGGTGGGCACGGCATGCTCACACCTGCGGCTCTGGCGTTCGCAGGGGGCGCAGCACGCTCACACGTGCGGATGGAGCAGCCGCCGCTGCGCAGGAGAAAGCTGGAGCACCTGGTGAGGGCGGGTGCAGCGCTCACACCTGCGGCTCTGGCGGTTGCGGGGCGGGCACGGCATGCTCACACCTGCGGCTCTGGCGTTTGCAGGGCGGGTGCAGCGCTCACACCTGCGGCTCTGGCGGTTGCGGGGCGGGCGCAGAGCTCACATCTGCGGCTCTGGCGGTTGCAGGGCGGGCGCAGCACGCTCACACCTGCGGCTCTGGCGGTTGCAGGGAGCTGGTGTTTAAAAGGTGTGATGTATACACTCCTGTTTCTGTTGAAAGCCAGTCTTGGTGGAGTACAGGAACTACAGGACATCACTGCAGAGGGAACGTCGTAAGCCTTGATCTCGCCACCATCACTTCCTAACCAGAGCAGCCCTGGGCCAGACAGGGAGACACCTGTGAGCTGGCAGGTCTCCGAGCCCGTTGTCACCTGCCACCGGGCTTCACGCCCATGTGCAGGCCGTAGGAATGCGTTGGTGATCAGGGTTTGCGCATCATGTTTCTGCTGGTTGCAGTTTTGTGTCCAGTGAGGTGGTTTTGCTGCAGCTCTCTTGATCCTGTGGTTCTACTGCATGGGTAGCTTTCTGTCATCTCCTGAAAGTCCAGAGAATGTGCTGTGTGACTTTAGCTTGTGATCAACTGTGTGTGTGTGTGTGTGTGTGTGCGCGCGCACATGTGGTGAAAGTGCACCCGCCAGAACATTGGCCCACACACCCACTCCCACGTTTACAAGTCAGTGACGTTGGTTATACTCTGCCTGTGTGCCACTGTCATCGCTGTTCTTTTCCAAAGGATTCCACCACCATTGACGCAGACTCATTGCCTGCCAGACACTCATCTGCCTTGCCTTCCACCCCACTGTTACCATTAACAGTTTTTGTTTGTGTATGTCTGCTTATTCGCAGAAGGGAGATGATACAGTATTTGTCCTTTGGTAACTGGCTTAGCATCGTGTTGTCAGGCTTCATTCCTGTGTAGTGCTGTCAGGACTCCGTCTCTCTTTATGACTGAGTAGTATTCCATTGCA